TGCAACGTGGGCTATTTTGAAATACTATTAATGGAGAGGCAACAAGGTCACGTGCAGTTATCTTCATCTTGCCAATTATATTAGCCCACGTATAACCAGTAGGAGACAACCATAACCAAAGGAATAAAACACGAGTTAGGTTTCAAAGTGATAAAAAGGAGCAATGTGTTGATACTTAAAATAAAACATGAAATTTTTGTAACCAAAAAAAAAAATAATAATAATAATAATAAAACATGAACTTTGTACTTAACAAAATACTAACCCATTAACTACACCCAGTACCCTGATAGAAGAAAGCAAAGAAATGATTTACCCATTCAACCCGCCTGTTCAGATTAGTCTTGGTACCCATTAGGAATAATTGGAGCACAAAAGACCTTATATAAATAAGTCTTGAAACTCACAACCAATATTTTAAAAACCCGGACCAAAATCATGAATCGGCCTAAAAAAGGGTCTGACTGATACCTAAAATCGGGAGTCAAGTTGGACTAGTCAAACCCAATAAAAAGCGGTCAAAAATCGGTAAAACCGGCTGGTTTTTGCCGGTTTTCAGAAACCGATTCAAACTCAATACCCTCCCCCCCCCCCCCATGCCTTCCTCTCTCTTCCCCATCCCCCATGCCCAATGGCTCAACCCAATTTTCAAAACGTCCCTGGCCTGCGCCTCTCTCTCTCTCTCTCCCCCCTATTTTTGATTTAAAAATTAAAATTACCCTCCCCCTCCCCTGCCTCTCTCTCTCTCTCTCTCTCTCTCTCTCAAAATTTTCAAAACCATCCCCTCTCTCTCCCCCTCCTCCTTCAAAATTACCCCTCTCTCTCTCCCCCTCTCTCTACAAAATTTTCAAACCCACCCCCTCTCTCTCCCTCCTTCCCTCCGTGCCTCTACTTGCGTAAAAAATTTTACAAAAAAATATATTTACCAAATTTTTAACAATATATTTTATTTAATTTAAATATTAAAAAATAAAAAATTAAGAAGAGTATAAAAAAGTAAAAATTTAATTTTTAAATCTTGACATTTTTAATTAAAATTATATATGTATATATATATATACTTTTAATTTTGAAATAAATATATAATAATATAAAATATATTAATGTTGTCATACTACCTATAATCTATAAAATTTAAATAAAAACATACGGATGGACTATATTAAATTTATTAAAATTTTAATTTATTATTTAAATATTTTTTATTATTAACCCGTTCGACCACCGATTAAACTGGTTGAACCGATTGGACCGTGACCTGATGACTTCACTGGTTTAGTCACCGATCCAGTTTTTAAAACATTGCTCACAACGTAGATGGGTCTTGGCTGTCTTGGCAGACCAAAATACTTATATGTGTCCAAGCATGTTTTGAGGCTTAGCCCACATGAAGCAAAGTGCTATAGGGTTTGCCTACAAAGACATTCAAAATCAACCAGCATATGCCCAACTAATGTCAACCTTTTTGGGGAAGACGGCCAATGCAAAAATACAGTATATTAAGGGAATCTCAGGGCTACCTTTTTTCTAAGTTCCTTACTGGTATAGGACAGCCCAAATAGAGGTATTTCGGCTTGTTCAAGGCTAACAAGAAGAGGAAATGAAGCTCTCTTGAGAGGCACAATCAATGAAAAGGAAGAAGAGAGAGAGAAATGATTAACATAGTCTAGAAAGCTAACTTGAAGCCAGAAGAAGCAAGTGGTAGTTGTTTCGTCCGACAGTTGAAGAACAAGGGCCATCCGGCTTTACGATTGGAGGATCTATTCACCAAAAAAAAAAAAATTGAAGGGGAAAGAGAGAGATAGCTAGTAGGCAAGTCTCAAGATTGGCCAAGGTTGAGATCAAGCAATTTCGGCGCTAGAAGGTGCCTTGATCGGCCCTGCAATGGTGGCCTAGCCGCTAGTTTCTGAGGCCTAATTCACATGACTCTCGTAAGAGAAAGGAAGAGAAAGAAAAAGAAATAGAAGAAAGGAAAAGAGAAATTTGCCATGGTTGCCATACTCAGAAAAGGAGATAGTTGGCTGGTGAGCTATAGTCAGTGGCGGTAAACAAGTGCAAGGAAGAGGAAAGGGAAAGGAGAGAAGAAAGAGAAAAGGGAGGGAAGGTTAGGGCACGGCTAGGGTTTTCTAACCCTTTTTTTAACTTTGGTCCCACACCTCAATTCCTCTCACCAAATGGCTTCAAAGTTCAAATTTCTTCATTTAAAAGCCTAAATTCACAACAACTACTTCATTATCAAGATGGCGGTGTTACATCTCAAATTTTTAATTTTGCACTCATTGAAGAACTTATACGAATAAATTATAAATTTGAAAAAATAAAATCAAGATAAATTTTAAAGTTAGGGGAGTTAATTGAGGGTTTCAAGGACCAAAATATAAAGGTGAAGTTTATATTATATAAAAATAGTATATAAAATGTAATAAATGGGTAATAAATGACACCCATTTGCATTATCATAACTCGAAAATCTACCATTATTTGTTTACTCTTAATATTTACTTTTGATAAATTTGCTCTTTCACTCACCTTCTTTTACTTATATTTTCTCTTATTATACTCGAATTCGGATACTATTTTCTATTATCAATCCTTAGAAATATGTACTTGGGAGTGATAAAAAATACAAAGTTAGACATAGATTTATTTTAATGAATTTTAAGTATATATATTTTTGACCCTCTTACAAAATTTAGTCAAAATCCAATACTAGTCATAATGTCTACTTTCTTATAAATACAGATGGTGCCTAGATTAAAGGAAGAATTAATGTTGGTTTGTCATCACTATGGTCATTATTAAGGCAATGGGTAGAGCTCCTTTCTACCTCGAATGTGTGAGGACCGAATTTTCAGTTTTCATCTTCGTTTGTGCCTTGTTTTCAAGAACACCACTTCTCTCGTGATTCTTTGCCCACTTTCAGCTGTCTTTTAGATCAAAGGAATGTCACGATCTCGTTTTGATGTTTTGGGGATTAGTATTGGGACGGTGTCGTTTTGAGCTTCATTTGAAATGTCGTTAGTTAGTTATTAGTGGTTTAATCTTAGCCATTGCTTTGTAATAGGAGCCATCCAATGGTTAAGATTGATTCCAGGCTGTGAAATGCCATAAAATAACGAGAACGAAAGCTACTAGAAGTTCTGACCCAACTTTCTCGCCTCTTTTCTTTACCATTAGGAAATTCCTCTTATTCTCTGTAACGTCTCTTATCTCGTATTTCTCAAATTCTTCATAAATTATCTTTATTATAACAAATTTTTCTCTAGAAATTCAACAGCCCTATAATTAACCTGGCAGGGGAAACCATGTCCAGGCAAAAAAGTAAGATCGAATTCCTGAATTAATTCCGGTCAACGACCGTTAAAATAGTTCTAGCCAGATTCAAAAATAACATAATTAGCCGTTATGGTTTGCAAGTAATAGATTTGTTATAATTAATTTTACTAAAATTAAAAATTTTCAAAAATACCCCAGTCCCCTAGAAAACAAGGAACTGATATTTGTTAAGAAAAAAGAAGACTAAAAGTTCTTACATCTAGTGAATCATTAACAGTATTATTATTTAACACTAAGCTAACAAATAGTAGGATCACTTCCTAACATCAATATAGAAAACAAAACTGGAAGTTGTTGACATTCCTTCAAGTAATCACATTAAATTGTATAGACTGGAAGTATGCATTTAATATTACAATTTGATCCAATAGGTTGAGTTATTTTTACAATTGTTGTATAGTATTAAATACTAATTTTAAAACTAATACAATAGATTTTAAAACTCTTTACCCAGAGAGTCAAAATTTAATACCAAATAAATCATCTAAAAATAAGTTAGTCAAAATTTAGTACCAAATAAATCATTTAAAAACAAGTGTCTAGGTCCAACAATCAATACCTTAAATTGGATTTAAGTGCAACAGCAACAGGGCATCTTACCATGCCAGCAAATTTGTATAGAATTTGTGCCTAAGTTTGAAAATTATCATTTTATTTTTCAAAAAAGGATATTGCTTTGTAAAATGGCTACTATTCCATGAAATTTGTTAAGCGTAGAAAGAATAATACTTTTGTCAAAATTCAACAGTCTATTAAAATTTTAACCAGTTTTTTTTTCCATATCAAAAGTCATTTTTTTAAAAGAAAAAACAATTTCCTACATAAAAGCTTATTTTTTTATCCTAAAATAAACCCATATATATTGAAACACATAACATATGCTTATAACTTATGTTTGAACAGTCATTTTTTAGGATTAACATATATATGGTTAGGGATTTGTGAATAATATCATGGGTGTTAAAGTGATTATTTCACTGTGATACGTTAAAATAATTACTTTAACACCCATAATATTATTATTATTATTATTATTTAATATTAATTTAATAAATATTAAAATTATTAATTCAATAGTATCAAATAAATCAGTTTATTGCCATCTCACTAAACTAAAAAAAAAAAAATTGAACAATTCAATAAAGAAAAGAAAGAAAGAGAAAATGAAAAAAGTGAAGAGAGTGATAAAATATGAAAGTTGGCTAGAGGGTATGGTTGAGAAATCATGAGAACTATGGGGTAAAGAGAGAAAACCATCAAATCCTTGGAGGGTCCAAGTCCCAGAAGACGAGCCAGATTATTGCCAGTGCATAAACACGCCAGTTGTCATCCACTCACACCTCCATTCCTATGATTGCAAACCAGGGATAGGAATATCTACACACCCCTTTTCATAAAGAACGAATCAATTCAATTTCTGTTAGCTCTTTAATTTAACCACGTTTGAAAGCTTTCATGGTGCTCTGCTGTCACCAGCCAGCTTCTTATCCTTTATACCCCTCCCTCTACAATTCTCCATCTCTCTCTCTTTACCCCACTTCACAAGCATCTTCGTCCTCTCTTTATGGCTTCACCTTCCCTACCTCTCTCCCTATATATAAACTCTCACAGCCCCAATGTCCATTCACCCCCCCCCCCCTCTCTCCCTCTCTCTCTTGTCTAAAATGGCCTTCTCTCGTAATGGGTTGTCCACAGTTATACTGGTTGCTCTTGGAATGAGCTCTTTGATCAGTGTTGCATTTAGTGGCAACTTCTACCAAGATTTTGACATAACATGGGGTGATCACCGTGCCAAGATATTCAAGCAAGGCCAGCTTCTCTCTCTATCCCTCGACAGGACTCCGGTTCGGGATTCCGATCGAAGAAAGAGTATTTGTTCGGAAGGATTGACATGCAGCTCAAGCTTGTTGCTGGCAACTCCGCCGGCACCGTTACTGCCTACTACGTACATTTTCTGACTCTTTCCCTTTAACCCGATTGCATGATTAGTTCACAAATACTCCTTATTTACTTCCATTTCCGTATATACTAATTAGAAAGCGGGAAAGGGACGTGTTTGAAAGCAACGTGACTCTGAAAAATAAATAAATAAAAGGACATGCTCCAGCCCCCCAAAATAGACAAAACTGAAAGCGACATTTATTTGGTATCAGCGGGCGGTGCAATTCTGAAAAACTGCGTGTGTTGGAGGGTAAACTTCTCTCTTTTCATTCAATGTTAACAAGTAGTAATAAATTAATAATTTCTTTTTTCTGTTGTATTTATGATACTGGGCATTTCTCAAGGACCCACTAATTGATAAGTCGTATTATTCGTCAGATAAATATAAGTATAAACATCTTTTACTGATCTAATATATATCAAAGATTATTAATCGAAAACATGAGTTCATATTATCAAATATAATTCAGAAAAAATTTATCACACAAAGTACAACTCCGACAAATGATCTTTTCCTTGGAATTGCTTTTTGAAGTTTTGTCCGTAGGATGTCATATGTGCAAGTTTTGGAAAAGAACAATAACAACTTAACTAGTTTGATTTGTGGAAATGCAGTTGTCGTCCCAAGGTCCTACCCACGACGAGATCGACTTTGAGTTCTTGGGAAATCTAAGTGGGGACCCTTACATAGTCCATACAAACGTGTTCACTCAAGGCAAGGGCAACAGAGAGCAGCAATTCTACCTCTGGTTTGATCCCACCAGAAATTTCCACACCTACTCCATTGCTTGGAATCCCCAACACATCATGTAATTTTAATTGACAGCAAATTAATTCCTTCTTTAAAATTAGTATAATATAATATAAATACATATAATAATTTTTTTATATTAAAAATGCAGATTCCTGGTGGACAATATGCCCATAAGAGTATTCAAGAATGCTGAATCAATTGGGGTGCCTTTCCCGAAGAGCCAGCCCATGAGATCTATTCGAGCCTCTGGAATGCCGATGACTGGGCCACCAGAGGAGGGATAGTGAAGACAGATTGGAGCAGAGCACCATTCACGGCGTATTACCGAAACTTTAATGTCAGAACTTCCACCGGCGCCACCGCTTCTTCATTTCCGGAGGGCCAGGAACTGGATGCTTACAGTCGGAGAAGGCTGAGATGGGTGCAGAAGAACTTCATGATATATAATTACTGCGCGATTTGAAACGCTTCCCTCAGGGCCTTCCTCCTGAGTGCAGGACTAGGTCTAGGTTCCTCTAGAATCAAGGCTTTGTTCTTTCTTCTGCATCCCAAGTTTCACTTTCTGTATCTCCTAATGTCCAGTCTATTCCATTCTCTGTATCTTGTTTATCTTGTTCATTTTGTTTGTTAAAGTTTGTACAAAAAGTCACCAATGTAATAATTTTTTCCAGATGAGGGTTAATCGGCATTACTTCAACTTTCAAATAATTCTGTCTTGGGGATTTGGGTACTTTCTAATCACAGAATTCCTGAGAATGTTAAGCATTCACTTGGATAGCAGTGTTTTTAAAATCTTATCATTCATCAAATCGAAAAAAAAAAGAGGTTATCAGTCTAATTGTAATCAAATTGTAATTAAATTGTAACATCATCATAAATATCATTGCGGAAGAAAAATCACTTTCATATCCTAATACAAGTTAGTTTTAGTGACTTGTTGATAATATTAATCAATTTATTTAAGATTATTTAAATTGTAGTGGCTAATTAAATCAAAAGTAGAGAGACTAAAAGCTGCAAGGACCAGAATTAAAGTTGGTGGTTTTCTGATTTTTGGAGAAAATGAGTCAAGTATAGCAATCACTTTCTTCGTTAAACACACGCAGGCACACACACACAGCGTCTTGGGAGATGTAGAACAACATATATATGAAACCCACCAACACAGCACCCAATTTTTTCTTTTCTGGTTTTTGGATGTTTTATTCATAGATGATTCGAATTTGAACTTAAAGTGGGCTAAGCTTCATGTGGGCAACTTTTCATTTTAGGCCAACCATTGGGCTAACCTCCTTGGCCTTCATAAGCCAATGTTCTCTTATCTATCAGCGCATTTTGGGCATGAGTTATGCTCAACACTTAGGACTTAGATTAAGTTTATTTGCTATCTTGAAATAGAAAGGAAAAGAAGGGATATGATAGAAAAGAAAAGAAAAGAAAAGATTAAATATTTTTCTTTCTTTGTTTGGTACCATCCAATGGAAAAGAAGTGATCTTTTTCTTCATTTGGTTTCATTTAAGGAAAAGAACAGAAATATATATAAATAAATGTCATAAGAACTAATTAAATAAAATTAATTATAGGGTTTCTGGAAAGGATCCAAGGCAAAAAGTTCAAAATTTCGGAAACTAATTTTGAAAATCTAGAAACAACAAGGTCCAAATTGAGAAAGAAAAAAAATCTTGAAGGACCAACTTGCAAACCAACATATTGCTCTATTATTCTTTTTCCTCCTTTGGCCAACAACAACACCATTTAGTCTAGGGCTACTCTATTTTGCAACCGAGAAACAAGGCATGTTCATTAGCACTCCTCTAGCCTAGATAGACCATAGTGACCTTTGCTCTATTTTGTAGTAGAAGAAAACCCGTTGACACTCCTTTGGCCTCACCATTCATGTTACCATTCACCTCATCAA